TTTGTTTGCCCTACACATTCATAAATGTTTGCAGACACCTTGCGAGTGAACTTCTGAGTTAGAAAAAGTATTTTTCATCACTACAGTACTACACAATTGTCCTTTATATCATTGTTTAGGGTCATGACAAATTAACCTTACGTAGGTATAAATGGATCAATTAGTTCTATTCTTGATTTAGTATACGTACAAGATGAAGCCATARAGTTTACTGTTCTCAAGTGTTTTATATTACTCRACCTAGTGTGTATAATAATCTTAAAATCAAATATAAATAAATAACACGGAAACATTGAAATTCGAACTAAAACGGGTGTTAAAATAAGTTCACTCAATCATACAATTTAAGTATTATAACTTTTAAAATGATTAAGTTGTAAATACTAAATATAATTGATTAATTATAWTCCTTTACTAAATCCATGTATGTACCATTGTGCCTATATTTAACCTAAATATGCAGTTAAGTTTGCGTTAGATTACATACAGATAAGTAATTACTAACAGCAAAGGCGAAATAAATTAATTTCAAAAAACAGACAAACTAGCTATTCTATCTGTGATAAAATTGTCGTARCCATGTCGTGGACATGAAAACGATTCAATTTAGTGCAATTTTACATATTTCCATTCACATATACACTCCAATAATCTTTATTTAATAAATTTGATAAATTCAATYAAAAATTAAAAATATCTTTTTAAATCATTAGATAATAATTATTGATTACTCTAGGAAAGTCTAATTTTAACGGATTATCGGTAATATAGATTAATAAATATGTTGCGGAATTCCACAACAGTGTTTTGATTTTAAACATTTTTAAATAAGTAACTCATTTATCTATTCATTTATATTTAGCACGAGACGATCTCAATTACATTTTATTAAATTCGAATACAAACATAAAAATAAGTCATATCACATCATATCATAAAAAACATATAATCATTTTATTTATTATGTTTAGGACTTCAGCTATATAGTATATGCTTTGAGTGTTTCATTAGTTTTCAGACGCGGATCCAGTAGGGGGCGGTGGGGCTACCGCCCTCCTCCGTTGTCTGTATCTCAAAATGTATTATTTAAATTTAATATTTTGTGTTATCCTATGTAAATGTATTTTTATATTATTCAGTCACAAATCGTCGTATTTTATTTTAATAACACACATTTATAAATTGTTGATGACAAAATGATGACCGACTGATCTATATTGATTGGTTATCTGTTCATTGCTATGCTACCCACATAACAGCAAAATTGTTGTGATGACTGACGACTGATAGAATAAAGATTTAAGATAATTCTGTCAACAGTTTGACACTCGACAACCGTTGATACACACACATTACGCGCATACAATTCGCAGTTAAAATAAGTGACGCGATATATAATTTTTTTTATATGATTGACAATTACTACATGTTTTGACATTTTKAATTCGTATACGATATTTTACAGTGAAATTTTAAAAAGGTATTTGATAATTAAAGGGTAATTTTAAATTGTAAATAATTCAATAAAGACATTCAATTAAATTAAAGAAAAAAAGGATTTATTATAATCGATAAGCAATTATTGCATATTTTTAATATATATATACTCCGATACTCGTATTATAAATATCTGAATATATATTTAGATATTTATAATCCGTCTCTCTCGTTAATGTAGGTCGGATCCGCGCCTGCAGTAAAAGTCAATAGACGCATTCTGTAATTTTAATTCAATGATAATTACATACAAAAACGATTCTAAGAGGTTTAATATTTAAAGTTTTACATTTTTTTTCTTAAGCGCCTACTGTTAAATCAAAACAATTAAATTATAACATTTCAAATCATTCTATTTAGTGAATTATACTGCATTTTTAACCTATAGGTATAATATATACATGTATATACATAATAGATCATTATCATTATATATGACTTATGTATATTAAATCGATATCAGTGAATAATGAATATTATATTATATCATAATTCWTAATATAATATAAACAAGTCAAAAGTATTTTATCTATGGTTATTGATTATATTAGTAAAATGTCTAATAGAAAAAAATATATATCAAACAATACGTCTGTGTATTATAAGTTATAACTATGAAATAGGCAACATTGGTAACATTATCTCAAAAATGATATATAATGAAAATTGAGCTAATTTCTTTATTTATACGTAGATGAGGATTTTTTGAAGGATTATTTTGGAAAGAAATTGTTGTTTTTTMAAAGTTTCTTGTCAATTTTGTGAAACTTGAGTAGGTACTGTGAACAACTGCACAATACTTAGACTTAGTGGTACTTCGTCTATCAACATACCAAATAAGGATATAGTTTTACCTCTCACCTATAAAAACATCTAAATATCTTCAAACATCATTAAATGGTGTTATTATTTCTTTGTTTATAGACTAAAAGTAATAAATAATAAACTTCTGATTAAAAAAAAATGTTACTACTACTCATTGTGCCTACTACCTGCACCTACGATTAAATGATTTCTATTTATGTACTCATTTTTTTATTATCTGTCAAATTTTTATGACGTAATATTTTACTCTTAATAATAGATACATAAGTTTTACTTGGTTTTACTGTAAGAGATAAAAATAAATAAATCATGAGTTATACTATTATCAGTATTATCGTTCAAATATTACAAGATGTAATGTGATTTATCCAATAGAACTGATTAATTGAAACAATAGCATAGAAATTATAACATCATCGTTTTTATGTATTTGTGTATACTGCATACGATTTTT